TAACCGAGAGACGGGGGAAAGCCGAGGCATCCCTTCTAAAAAAAAAACCTAACCCATCCACACGGTGGAACGGGTGTGGAATGATGTGGATATCGTGTGGACGGCTGTGAGTCGTGTGTGGAATCAGTGTGAAAGGGGGTTGAACGGGTATGGGGAGAGTGTGGTCATTGAGGGGAATAGGTGTGGACAAGGTGAGGAATGGTAGAGATGAGGAAAGGACGGGTAAACTCAGGCAATTCATGTTGACCTTAAGATTGGATAATTTTTCTTTTCTCATTATGTTATTCATTTTTTCTTACATTTCTTTAATTTTCATACAAGCCTGGTGATTTAATTTCAAAGATCATTAAAAAAGTGCAAAAAAAGGGAAATACTCAGCCGAAGGAAATTTCATTACTTAAAAAAATTTTCATGGGAAACTGTGGACAACCGTTACTGCACACACTTGAGTAGGTAGTAGCTCTATGCATTTCCTGTCGCTGGATGCTTGCTAACAACGATTGAAGTTTCCCATTAATATTTATGACAAAAGAAGATACTTTTCCTTCGAAATTGCTAATTTGCCAATGCATAGGTCAAATATCACTAAGCACGTTATCAATAATATCATGAAATCACAACTAAACAGATACTTGCAGATTTGCAGTCACGAGGACGACTTCGCATTCAACTGCGGTCTTTTACAAAATAAACTGATGTACAGTATAATGGTTGTGCATATTGGTTATTGAAAAAATAAGCCTCTTTGACCTCTTCAAGAAAACCCATTATCTCATTATTTTGGAGGTGTTTGGCTTTTCTTTAGCAAATGCCTTTTGTTTTCCGCTAGTCGGTCTGCTTGATGGCCTGCTTCCACTCTGTGAGACTAGGGCTAGCCTCTGAGTCTTAGGCCTGGTTAGTCCCTGGCCTAGGACAGATTTCAGGGAATGAGCATAGGCCGTTCGCCTTCCATGATCCAGTGTGGCTCCCCTCTTCCACTGCCTTCTCCTTCACCCACTTATTTGGAGTTTTTGCTGGTGTTGAAGCAGAAATTGGTCGCCCATTTCGTGGCTCATCTTCAAGGTCCGTCTTCCCCTCCAGGAAGAGCTTTGGCCTCTTCCGGATCGTCTCGTAAGTTGGACAGTGTTGGTCAAAAGCCATTGACATCAGTTGATGGATCTCTGTCTGTATGTTGTTGAGCAGAACAAGGAACTCGATGATGATTCGAATGTGATGTTTCGAGAATGATCCTTGGACGACGGAGGCGTTCATAGTGACTGTACGCAATATCCGGCAGCGAGTGTAAATTGAATAAATTTATACCAAACTTCGCACAGTGAATATTATTAGACATAACCAGTGCTCACCGAAATTTAATACAGATTCATCGAGTGTAACTCATTTTAAAAATCAATACAAATAACTTTTCGGACAACCCTCGTATTCCTCATGAGGAAATTCCGCGCCCAACCAAAGCCTCACGGGCGGACCACATACGTTCCACACGTGTGGAATGGGTGTGAATTTTTTTAGAAGGGCAGGCGAGAGAAGTGGAAACGAAAGTGTGAAACCCTCTCCTATTCCTTTTTTGCTCTTCCATCCTGTGTTACCCATAAATCGTTAATGAATCTTTAAATATCCGCGTAATGAAGTGTCACTGTATAAGTCCAATCATTTATGTTACACTTTTACATCTTTCCGTTATGGGTTGACTAAATGGCAAAGAGTCTCAGTGCGCTTCTTTGCTGACGTTTATTTATTTATGCAGTAAAGTATTAACTATTTTCTTTCCGACTGGAATGTCACTTGTAGGATGAACAGATGCAACGGATAGTAACTACTATTGAATATGTTAGCGACTTCATCGCCTTGAGTCACTTCCTGAGGCTTGCCTATGTGTTGGGCATGACACAAGCCGAATCATTCCCAACGCCTTGGACGTGATTCAAGGAGGAAATTAGGGATCTATTAAAATTCGATTAATCGATTAAATGGGTCACGATTAATCAATCAATTTTTTTAATCGATTGACAGCCCTACTCATTATAATAAAAGTTACGGCAATTCAAAATGGTAAGCATTTTTGTGAACCACCCTTTACAATGTCCAGCAACACAGCACGAGAATAAATCAGGCTTCGTGCTGTATGTTCACACTACGTTTAGAATGCAGTTTTACTCGTGGCTTGATGAAACTAATGAAAGATCGCAATACAAGGAGTTAGGAAATCTTCACTTACGTGGTACATGGTTGAGGGGGAAAAAACCCACTAGGTCAGGGGTTCTTAACCTGGGGTCCGTGGGGTAGGTCCAGGGGGTCCGTGGAGGGTCCATGAAAAATTAAATATGTAATTGAAGGTAGATCCCCAAAAACATCACTTATAATTACAAATCCAGGTGCTCCAAAGTTTCTGATAACCGGGGATGGGGGTCCATGGGTAGTACTTGAGGATCTGGGGGGTCCGTAGGTACAAAAATGTTAAGAAAGGGGTTCTTAACCTTTTTGTAATGCAGGGGGGCATTAGATGATCGACGCTTGCACGAGAAAAAAAGGGGATTTCCTCTCTCAGCATTCGCTTCAATGTTTCTTTCAGTCATCTCAAAAGATACCAGGTAAATAATAATAATAATAAGCTAACCGATGCCATTACATGCCTTCACTTCCTTCACGATCAGAGCCAATCGTGGAGGAAGGCGTCCACCTTTTTACGTCACAATCTATCGGAACTGCTCCTTTTGGCGACTTCATTTACTTGAGAGTAGAGTAGGTTCTACTTCTCTCTCGTTGTTCAGCGACTGGCGATAATACCCTATGCAATAAACAGGATTCCCTCTTATCCGGGCTGGTAGTCATGCGGAGGAAAGGGAGGATATAAACAATGTAAAAGATTGGAGATTAAACACCCTGCTGGCGCCAAAAGTTACATCGTTACTAATTACTACGGTTACACTGCTTCTTCATGACCCAGGCTGAAGGCTCAGAGAGAGAGTGACGTTTGCCCTTACCTTGGTATGGTAGAGCGGACCCTGGGAGGATAGGAATCGCATAATTTCCTCTTCTGCTGCATATATTGCCCAAGGCTTTTGTCCTGCGTATGAGCCAGTTTCTCTCTGGACTCCGCTCCTTTGGTTTCGTCTTCCCGTTCTCTTGCGAGAAGAGACGAGTGCAACAGTGACATGTGTATGTGGGAAATTTCGTCACCATGCCCGGAAACTCAGCCTCTACGGCTGTCAGATCATTTCAATCCCGATCCGAGATATTGGGCTCAAAAAATTTCCCAATATAGGGACCAGGCTTTATTTTTATGGCAACCTGATTTAGTCCACGGCACGTTTCTTCGTTACTTCTCATAATCTTCGACACAGGCCTGTGGGAGCCTCAGCAAGACCTCAAAATCGGTAAACTGTGACTATGCGTCTGATCAATATCTGCCGGAAGTCTGATTAGAGTTTCGTCGGAGCGATATGTCCAAGCCTTTAATTCGATTTCAAGGCAGTTTTTATTCTCTCTCTGGTGCGAGTTGTGGTGATGTCGGTCGGCATGGTCGACTCCTTCCGAAAGCAAAGAAATTGGTCCCGTAGATAGCTGCAGACTAGCCAATAGATCAAGGACAAAGTGAACAGCGGAAGAAACATCAATCTATGGATCTCGGTAAGTCGTTTCGATTCAATGGAATCATGAGGCGCGTAAGCAAAGCTGGGATCGACGAACAATTGCGTTTAGTCTGATTATAGCTCAACTGTACATTTTACATGGATTTCCTACGTCAAGGGATTGTCGTAGTTTCAGTTCACTTCATCCCAACTGCGAACTGGGACGTCAAATAGATCACACGTCTATTGGTCCACACTGCATCCGGATTCAAAAAGTCAAAAGACTAGTTGGTAGCCCGTGCCCCGGGAAAATTTAAGGACAATTATGCGAACATGGCTTTGAGTGGGGGGGAGGGTTGCCACACCCCACCTCTCCTCCCTTAGATCCGCCACTGGCTGGCCATGTGAGAAGACAGGGAGCGGCAAAAAACACCCATAATTTCTCGAAGGTCTACCCCTGCGCTTCGTTAATCGTCATGGCAAAGAACGGACGGGAAGCTGACGCCGAGTGAAGACGAAGGGCAGCCCAAAGATCAAGACGTTAACTTTGAATCGTCGCTTTGTAGGACAGTGTGGTATGTGGGCCGCCTCACATTGCAACCCGCCGCGCACGTTTCAAACGTTCACTAGCGCTGGCTATCTAATGTCGTATATTAAAAGTATACCATGTTTTTACGGCCTGGCCTATGGCCTAGAATGGCTTAGCTTTGTAGGCCAGGTGTGTTGGGTCGCTATCGCTTTCGGCCTCTTTCAATTTTTATGGCCTTGCCTATATCCCAGAACGGCAGAGCCTTGTAGGCCTGGCGCTTTAGGCGGTGGATGGCTTAGCATGGCATACCATCGTAGGCTTCGTGTGCTAGGTCGAGTTCATCCTCTTGCTGTACAGCAGCGGCAAAATCTAATCCAACACGGACATGTAACATTTGGACAGTATACAGTTGCAGCATCCAGCATGCTGTATAGCACGAGTATGAACTCGGCCTTAGGGGTGACAGCCACTACAACTTTCGGCCTCTTTCAATTAAATATGAAATGGCCTTTAGCCACCCTGCGTGAACCATGGAGAGTGGCGTGAACCCATTATTCGTACGAACACACGCGATCTCGCTCTGCGCACGCGTATATCATGTGTGTGCGCGCGCACATGCCACCGACCACCACCACGGACCACAGTAGATTTTATTATAAAGATTATTTCATAAAGTTCTAGTGGATGAACCCTGTGAGGTGTTCTGAACATGTTCTTCCATCGTCTCCTAATCTTCCGATTTTTTGACGAGACGAAACAGGATCTAAATTTTAATTCCAGGCTATACTTCTCATTTTTGCTACATTTCCTTTACAGTAGGAAAAGAAAAAGATCTATGTTGGCTTCTAGACCGCGTTTTCGTCATTGTGTAAGTACAAATAACGTATTAATTAGATGTAAAAGGTCATAATTCGACGCAATTAGCAGCTAAGAGTTTCCTGTTCTAAATTTTTTATGGGAAGTTGATATATTTTCGACGCTAATGGATTCCATCCTTTATGGTCCAGTGTTGAGTTATACACCGCTCTCCACCCAAAAAAGGGAAACATGACGATACGTGTTCCTGATGTAACTTGACAGGATTTCTGGGTAGAACTTGCAACGACTTTACAGGAATTCACACTCAATTACCACTACTAAACTGAGGGATGATGATGACTTTCAAGCACTGTGTCATTTGTGTCTCCTTCCACTTCCTTGTGACATTGCCTGGAAATTGGGTGAGAAGTGAATTGCAGAAGTGCTGTCCGGGCCAGGACCAGTATGGAGTTCATGATCGAGAAACAGGTGTGACCAAGTGTCATGTTCATGACACCAATCAGACGATTGGACTGCCAGAGTGCAAGGAAAAGGTCAAACTAGTGCTAGACCAACCTGACCCTATCCTCCTTGCCACCACTCCTCGTTGCCGTGATGAATTCCTTGAGGAGGACGGAACCTTCATCAACGCTTTCCTCTTCTGCCTCTCCGGGTTTGGAACTGATCCTGCTCCAGACCCAAAGCAAGACGGGACGAACATCGTCCTCCGCAAATGCTGTCCCTTGGAAGAAGGCTATGACCCGCTCCAGAAAAAATGCGTCCCCCGTCCCTTCTCCTGGTCGCTCCCGGTATTAAACCCAGAGACAGGGGAGATTCGGAATCTGTCTTCAGATGAATATCAACTCACTATCGACGACCTATCTTCCATTCCTTGTAAAAAATACTTACTGTCTCCCCAAAAAGATATTAGGGAGGCGTATCATGTGTTTCATGACACGGGACACCTCTACCTCCCAGCCTTAAATTTCACATATTCTCCTGAAGAGTTCTGCCTCGATCACGGTCGTATCCAAAATGGATCTTGGGTCGATCTAGCTCGCATCTGCGACCCTAAATACAAGAAGATTCTCAAGAACTGCAAAGGAAAGGTTTGTGTTCAAAAATGCTGTGTCAAGACGGATATCTTGCACTTGTCCGATGAGGGACAACCCTCATGCTACCCAGCTGATAGCCTCTGGGATTCTAAGAAACATTTCCATCCTCATCCTCCTGCAGAAGTCCACGTGATCACGAATTTCCCCATATGTCCCGGAATAACGGATGTGGGAATCCTATTAAGGCCAAGCAATGTCTCGAAGGATAAATTCTATGTGACAAATACTGGAGGGTTGATGGTGAAGAAATACAAGATGGTCGTTAATGTCCCCAGCTATTGCATCGATGATATGAAGACCAACGAGACAGTCGAGCCCATTGCTATTTTCTGCATCCCTGAAGGCTCAAATGTCATTCAAATGATTTACTCCGTACTTCTCGTCGTGTCGGCAACGTTCCTGTTCATCACATTTCTCCTTTATCTGATTTTGCCCGAACGGAAAAGCCTCCATGGGAAGACTCTTCTTTGTTACATGGGCTGCCTACTGGTGGCCAGCATTGCCCAATCAGTCGCACGGATTGGCTCCGACAAGGACATCTCTTATTCTGTCTGCCTCACTGCCGGTACCTTGGACACTAGAATCATAACTGGACTGGTCATGAACCTTGAGAGTTTCTCTTTTCATACGCCGATTTGAGGCCACGGCTGCCATCAACTTCTGGTCTCGTGAATATTAGCAGCTCCAATGTGCATTTATTAGATTGAAAGAGAATGGCATTTATTGGCTCCTACAGTAGATGTAAAGGATGTAACGCTTACTTCCGAAATCCCTAGTAGCGGCTTCAAATCGGCGAGTATATTGAAATACGGATGACCAGGCCAGTATATATTCAATTCGTTACCGCATGATATGATTCAATTAAATGAAATTCCAAGTAAGGTTTTATCTCCTCCACTCTTGCAGCTTTGATGACTTTCTACTTCTACCTCTCCACATTCTTCTGGCTCAATATCATCAGCTTCGACATCTGGTGGAACCTCAGGTGAGGTAATGATATGATAAAGAGATAATGAGCACGATCTCATCCACTTTTCTAACTTGTGCGTACGATACAATAATTGGTAATGATGATCATGACTCCCCCCATTACTACCAGCTGCATGTCAAATAAAACGATGATTACTGTTACAGCTTCTTTCCTTTCTTTTCATGATGAATGCAGGGACCTGAAAGACCACACGTCCAGTCGAGAGCACCAGAGAAAGATGCTTATCCGTTACAGCTTGTATGGATTTGGAGTACCATTGTGCATCGTTTCGATAGCCTGGATTTTGGACCGCGCACCAAATATTCCACCGTACATCATCAAGCCGGGATTCGATCCGGAAACAAGATGCTGGCTAAATGGTACTGATGCATGGCTGGGGCAGAGCCAAATTTTGTCATAGTACCCAATCGGTACATCAACATCGTGTCAACATTGAGCCAGAATTGAGCCATTTTTCAAAGTAGCGATATTGCCACAACAGTGCGTAAAAGGTGGACTCAATGGTGCTGCAATGTTGAAACACAATTAAGCGTTGAAAATGCGATCATGTGTCATGTTGTGCCACCCTTGAATTATCAATGTTTCGGCGTTACCTCCTCCTTTTCCTAAGCTTGGACGCGCTCAGATTCCTTTGAACTTGAAAGTACTCCGGTAAGTACAATCTTCCCACGAAGAGGTTTTTTTTGAGGTTGTAAATTCCTTTACTGAATCAGAATCCGACTTAAGTACTTGAATACACAACTCATTCTGTCCGGCAATGGAGTTACGTGCCTGACATTATCCCTAGATTTATTTCCCATGCAGAAAAAAGAGCCATGCACACACTCGTAGGTCGGTTACGGTCATTCTTGGAAGTGATACCAGAACCCAAGTCAGTATGTGCGTCGTGTAGTGAGGTAGGCAAATTCTACGTACCTGCTCGGACTTCCTGGCCAGAAGTAACAGGATTCTCATTTTGCCGGGTTACCTTCACGAACAGATCTATCTTGGAATTTCAAAGCCTTCCCTTAAGTTGTTTGTGGGGTGAGATCGGGTACTGTAAGAAAAATACTGAGGACTATATTTTTGAGGGCATCGCGTGAGCTTCCGTAAATCGGCAGTTAGGCGCAATCTCCTGTCGATTGGTAAAACCTATTTCTGTTGAGATGACGTGGATAACGCTACGTTGAAACAACTTCGAGGCTATGATAAAGGCTAATGCGAAAAACGAATTTGCTCTAAATGGATGCCAAACGACTTCGTTAATCCATCCACCTTATACTGGAAATGCGGTTAATTACGAATAGCCGAAATTTCATTGTTGATTTTTCGTTAAATTCTTAACTTCAACCATGTCTCAACATTTCAACCATTTGTCAATGTTGACACAATGTAGTTGTGCCGAATGGGTAGGATATTGTGCTCGATGCAGGATACTTTGCGTGAATCAAACTTGAAACATTACATTATACATTATACATGGAATTCCAAAAGAGGGCAAAGCCAACAATTCCGTGTCTTTTTTCCCCGATTCAGATGATGCTGGAATCGTTTTATACTTTTATGCACCTGTCAGCATACTCCTGGTCGCTAATGCCATTTTCTTTGCCCTCACAAGTCGCTTCTTGATTCAGCATTCTAGGGATACTGCTCATCTGAACCGGAGCCAAAGCCAGACTCAGAAACAAAAGTGAGTTACATCATGCTCTTAATCTACTGCTCGGTCGGCACATGTAAAAGTAATTTTCTTACAGAAATACAAAGAGAAAGGAATATCTACTCCTCTCTGCAGGTTTATGGTGTACATGAAGCTGTTTATACTGATGGGAGTGAGTTGGCTCACAGAGGTCATCACCTACTTCATCGGGGAGCCAATAGAAGCTTTCGTCTTCACAGACGCTATCAACATCCTACAAGGAGTTTTCATCTTCTTCATCTTCATTTGCAAAACGAAAACGATCAAATACCTGAAGAAAAATGTTTGCAAATGTTTCTTCCGACATGGCAAAATGAATGTTTCGCTAAGGAGGAAGTCGAAATCAAGAGGAAGAGGAAGCATTCAGCATTTAGCTCCAACATCTCCAATCGATTCGAAAAATCCCGACCATGGCATGAGCTATTACAACTCCAAGTTTGACAGCAATGAAAATTCAGAATCCTCTTCAAGTGCCCCTGACAAAAGTGTCAGCAACCGCACCAAGAGCACTAACGTTTCGGAGACGTCCACTTGAAAGAAGAGACGCCATTTTCTGACATCTGACAGGATATTCATCTCATTATTTCAATTTTAAAAGTGTATTATGTGATGGGTATAAGAATAAAAGCTTTCATGTCCTATTTGTGTTTCAGTCCGTGTGATACGGCAATGATGTCTTCAGGGAATGAGTCATTACTTTACAGCCACCCCTTTGAAGTAATGTCTTCGTGAGGATTGTGAGGGATGGCTTCAAAGGGTATGATGAAGGGAATGAAGTAGATAAACAGGAGATAGGGAAGGGTTGAATTGCGATGTTGAGGATGCACAGTTTTCTGTCCCATTTCCAGGCTGCATGCATCTTTCCAATGCACCGTTTCACAGCAGGGATCATTTGTTCAATATATAACTGGAACCAAAATGTTTGGAACACCTACAGTACAGTATTTACATTTTCTCCTAAAAAAAAATAGAAGTATGTAAATGAATAGCGGAAGTTGAAGTAATGAATAATTCGAATAGCACTGTCATCTCATTCGATTGATAAGATTCCATTGCATGGAACTTGCTCCTCAGAAAGGCCACGCATGCTTCAATTCATTGGAATTGAGCGAATACCGTATTTTAGAAGCTTTGAGTCGGAGTAGTCATTTAACTGTCCTCAAACTGAACCTTCAAGCTGTGACTTGTATTGCCCCACCAGGGATGCAGAGAATTCGGCTGCCTTTCAGCATTCATATTTTCTCCATGCTTTTCAGTCGCCAAAATCTCATGGAATGTGCGGCATTTCACAATAACAAAGAGACAACAATGGAAAGAGTAAGTGAACGTCAGATACTTTGAAAGACGTTCGTACAATTATATCGAAACGTTTTATACTGGCTTTTGAATGACGAATACAATTTGTAGTAAGAGGACCTCAACGTCCTCCAAAACCCGTACATAATCCAGAAGTGATCAAAGCGCGGCCCTCGAGGGAATTTGGAAATATATATATTATATATACCTCGTATATACAGTATATCTAGATTGAAAATACTCTTTTGAACCCCTCCCTCCCCTTGTCGATGATTCGTCCAACACCCCCACTTGCCACTAGCCTTGGCCTTTTACATGTAGCACGAGAAAATCTTGATTTTGTGGCTTGTGGTTTGCATGCCATGCCGCTCCAATCACCGAAACCTTCGAATACTTCTCACCGAGAGCTTCGACCTCATCGACAGATTTGCCAATACGTTCGCGTTGGATAGAGAGGAGTCCAATTCGCTACAACTTCGGAATCTGACGCTTGCTTCAAATATCCAGCACGAGTCCACACAACTACACCAGACTCCACCCAATATTCTAAGAAGTCTACTTTATCTTGTTTGGAATTTTGAACATTTCGGAAGAGATGTACTGGAAATACTGACCTTGAGACATTGACATTCCTCGTTTTGTTTTTGTATCAATATTTAGTTGTGGAACGCGAAAGCAGAGTCGAAGGTTACTTCCGAGTATATGGTCCCATCCCGCTGAGCTGTGTTTCCCCATTCCAACCACACCCGAATTCCAGGACCAATTTGTGAGGATGTATTTCCAATCCGCCTATGGGATAGGATTTTAAACAGCTTCCGAAAGAATGATCATATGCCCCAATTTACTTATTCAAGGTCATTTCGCCGCGGTTTCCACTAATTATACATGCCTGCCACTCCAGACTCATTGTTCTGAAAAATGACCCGGTCTGGCGACTATGTACAGGGTGTCACAAAAGTTAGTTCTATTTTTTTTTAAGTTAATTTTTTAAAGCAAAAAAAAGCATGTTGCCAAAATTTCACAAACATACCATTTTATGATATATTTATTGCTCTTTCAGGCTATAACAATAACACAACTAGACATTTTCAAAATGGCCTCCTTAGGCCTCATTACATTTCTGGAGACGCTTTGGGAAATTGTCGACAATTTTTATTACAGTTTCTATGGGCAAAGCCTCCCATTCCCATCAGCGAGAGTTGCAGAGCGTCCAAATTGTTGTACTCAGTGGAAAGAGCAATAAAAGTACTATAAAATGGTGTGTTTGGGAAATTTTGGCAAATTGTTTTTTTGTTTTAAAAAATTAACTTAAAAAAATCGCACGGACTTTTGTGACGCCCTGTAGTTCGGAGCATAATTCCATACCGATGCCCAAAGCAATGGCCTTGCGTAAAAAATTGCTACTACTCTGAATTCATCCTTATTTTCCGATTAAATTTCTATACATTCTTTTCTCGTTCGGATATCATTGACAGTATTTCAAAATAGAAAAAAAAGAGTAAAACACAATAGCAAGCTCCAAGACTTTATATTCTGACTGTTCCCACTGTTAGCGTTCAGGAAGAAAACCTCTGAATTAAAACACTAGCACAGGGGACATATCGGTTTTTGTCTCAAAAGAAAGATAGGGTTTTAAGATTTAATTGATTTGCATGAACCCTCCATTGTGTCAAAATTGAATATTACACACTGCGCGAATAGCTGCACTTTACGACACGCCATTCATGGAATATTGTTGTTAGATATGAGCTATAGGTGGAGTGGGAGTAGGTGTAATGGAGTAGAATCGTTCTTGAAAGTGTGAGGGGAGGGGACTTCGAAAGCTGAATGAGATAAGAGATTCTGCATATCGTATGCCACAACTACATGCGTTTGTCAGAGAGATATGCATCTAACAGAGAAAGGAATGTGTTGAGGGGGAATGCTTCCCGCTTCCTCCCCCCCCCGGTTTTTATTCAATTGGCCAGGGATTTCTGGGTGCAACCATTTGGTCGCACCCAGAAATGGTGGCACCAGAATGGTCGCGCCATGTTTCCCATTGATTTGCGTATCTGTCGCATAATGCTACGCACTTGAGGCATATTGCTTCATACTCCTTCCTCCCACCCAGCACACAAGGGCCGCTCCGAATGTTCATCTCACAACTCTTGGAGAGAGGAATGCATGGTATATCGTCTTTAGAACGGATGGATGTCGATCGCCCTGATTCACGGATTACGCTGAAGTACTCCATGATAAGACCTGTAACTAAATGGAAAAAGGAGTTCCATGCTCAGGTATTTTTATTAATGGAATTGTCTGTACCCTCGTAATGACGAAAAGTATCGACGAAAGAGCATGAAGAAAGAGAATGAAGAAACAACATGAAAAATGCCATCCAAACCAAAGTTTAAGAATGGGAAACAATCTTCTGAAGACTTTGAGTCCCAATTGCTGTCGTTGTCATCTGGAGCATTATGGATTCGTCAGTGATCCAAACAGGCGTGAAAAAAAAACCTCTAGGTGATGTGCATATCCTTGATATTTCTCGGCTCTAACCTCGCGAATGCTCTGCTCCATAACTTTTTAGCTGTGAAGCATCGTTGTTTTGGGTTTCACGTCCAACGTGCACTTTGATGAGTTGAAGGCTTATTCTCCAGGGTTCAGGAAAGGGCTGCCCGCTGGCAATAGGAAGATCTTGTGTCCTTTGCAATCAATGAGTTGCTTCCCTGCTTCCTTGCGATGGAATGCAAGATTGTCCATGACAAAGACGGACGGACCTCCCAAGACATTCGTGGTGATCCAAGAAATTTGGGTAGATTTGAGTGTCGCAAGATCCCCAAATCAGACGTTAGTGTGGGACTCCTTCAAGGCCGGTTGCAAGAATCAAGGTCAGAATCCCCCCACGGGAATTCGGTTTTTCTAGTGTTGCTCTCTCTCTCTCTAATCACATTTCTTCCAAATCGTCTTCGAATTTGGAGATAGATCCCACTCTCGTCGATCCGTAACATGGTCTCCCTTGCTTCTTCTCTCCGAATCATCTCCCTCACGAAGAGATACCTAACTTAATAAATGGGTAGCCTTAGATTGTTGGACTGTTGGGTTGATGGGATGATTATAAATATAATGTTCATAATATGACAATATTTACAACTTCATTCATAATTACATCAAAACGTATTGAAATATGCAAGGAAACGGAAAAATCTATTTTAGAGTGCCTCAATCACCTTAGCGGAATTTCGTGATACTGGAACCCGATCAAGTGTCTTCAGGGTGATGTCATATTTCTCAAGTAATTTAAAAGCAATGGAAGTGCTAATCTGGAGATTTGTGAAGTGTCACTTGTTTGACCTACCCACTAAGCGTAATGGAAGTCCGAAGGATTGTCGATTGGTCAGCACATGATCTAATTCTTAATTCCGATAAGTGTCAACAGCTTGTTTTCTCTAACACCGGTTTAAGAAAGGTAGAAATGCTTCAACTCCTCAACGCGAAACTGACAGTGAATGACTTCGAGGTCACTCTGGTTCTCGAAGCAATATATATTGGTGTTATCATCGACGATGAGATGAGCTTTCGATCTCAGGTAGAAATTGCATGTAAGAAGGCATTCTCAAGATCATTCTTCGCAGTACAGCTCCTTCGATCCACCACTTGACGCCATTCGTAATTTTGTGGATGCTTTGTGCCTGCATCTTGCCCGCTTTGCTTTGTGAACTTCCAATCTATGGGGGACTTCTATCGAAAGAAGCCTGCGGCCTCGTATCTAGGACACTCAAACGTCTGGCTCAAGTATTTGGAAGACCTGCTTCCAAGTACTGTACAAACAGAAAGACTAAACCAGATGCAACTTACAAGACACGTTTCTTGCCGACCTGAAGAGTGATGTGTCTCACCTGCTGTCGTCATACTATTGTACGATATAGATCTTTTCGCATGGGTGGAGTCCAAACTCAAAAACAGTTTATATACCCAGAAGTGCAATTCACTAGAGAAATGCGAAGTATTTTACTGAAAGAGCCGAGAATTCTACAAGACACGCGAAACTCCCAGAGAAGCACTATCAAACGAAAAATGCAATTGTTCAATGTCCAGCATGCTGCGTAGCACGCGTATGAACTAGGTTTCATGCCATCATGTGATCGCGGAAAGTCAGTGTCTTTAGCAAAGCGAGAGCTCCTTCTACTCCTGAAGAAGCTCATATGTAAACATAATATATGCTTAGAGGATAGTTGTAAATATTCGTGGCGGGTGTACATCGGAATATTGAATGCATAAAAGCAGAAAGTGTGGAAGAGCAAGAATGTAGATGTCATAACATGTCGCTCATGCATCATGTCGAATGGAATGGAGCCGG